GTGTATATATATATATATATATATATATATATATATATATATATATTCCTACTATATTTTTCACTACATGCATCCGATGAAGTAGGCTGTAGCTTATGCTCAAATAAATTTGTTAGTCTCTAAGGTGCCACAAGTACTCCTGTTCTTTTTGTGGATACAGACTAACACGGGTGCTGCTCTGAAACAATTGTGTGTGTGTACTAAAGATGACTTTTGGATAACGAAAGGAAACAAGACGTATTCTGCCTTTCAATCCATCTCCCCATGCTTCCTACTTCAGTTGAAATAATGGGGAACAGCAAATATGGTGGCCACAAAAAAGAACAACCAACCACAACCACAACCACCCCACAATCACATGAGGAAAGGATCAGAAATTAACTCCATGATGAGGTTGGTATAACTGTTCAGAGATTTGTAAAAATAGTCTTGACAGGGTACCACCTGAGTTTGAGTTATTTTTGTTAGTTTTTGTACGCTGTATTTGTTCACTTCTGTTCTTACAGAACTAGGCTGCTGTAACCGTATACAATTATTTGGCTTATGCCCTCTCTGTCAGAATCTTCATAAGCTGAGGCACAACAACCAAGTCATGAAATCCAGGGTCTACACAAAGAAAATTTTGTTTGCTACTATAAAGAGGTAGAAAAAAAATCACTAAATAAATTAAATTCCATGAACAGAACTTAGCACATTGGACCTATGATGGCTAGTTAGATTCCAGTACGTTATGTCTCAGGCTACAAGAAAATAACACAAAGGTCATTGGTCCTGGAATCCCTTCTCTAAAATCAGAAAAGCTGTTCTGTGAGAAATTAATAACTTTGCTTATGCATCTTTTATTCGTAGAAACATTTGTTTTCCAGTTACTTTAACCTGACCAAGTAAAATACCCCAAAGAACATGTACTATTATCCTTTTGACCTGGTGTTTCTTCTCGTTGCTAGGGCCAGGAAAATTAGGTCAAAATTTTGGAACAGGGAGCAATAGGTTCTGCTGCAAAAACTCACATCTGTGCATGCTGAATACATAACTATACACAAAAAGGTTGATTAGGTATGCTATTATATAATTTACATGTACAAATCTGAGGGATTGTGGGGACAATAATGCATGAAATTGTGGCCTTTTAAGAGTATTCCAGCTGTATTTTTTCCCTTCTATAATTTATATTTTTAAAAACACCTCTTCATTTATTCCTTTTACACAGTTTCAGAAGTGCCAAATTGTACAGATTGAAGGATCAGCTACAGCCTTCGCTTGAGCATATAGCAGACAATCCCCAAGAACTCAGGCACAAAGCTCACTATTAATTCTTACCATAGTGCTACCCTCTGCTCCATCTCTTTCAGGAAACTTCGGTGAAACTCATAGATTGGATCTATATTAGAGAAGAGCAGCGTCATCAGACCTTCAGGCATGGCATTCTCCTTGATGACTGCACTGCGGAACCACTGCAGGAGAAAATATAAATAATGGTCATTTGTCAAATGTTATTAACAGACAATCTGAATTTTAGCTCCTGAAGATATAGGGCGAGGAAGAGCAGGAGGAAAAGGGAAACGTCTAAGGAAGAGATCATCTAGCGAATATAAAGAAAGATGCAATTTCTCTCCTCACCAAGCTTCAAAAATTTGAAGTGTCATTTGGCCCCAGCCATAGGCATATTCCATGTTCCAGTGGCAAGATGCAGATAGACCATTCTACAACCATAATAAATTATGTGATTCTGGAACTTTCCCACAACCAGTGTTGTATAATTGTTTTTATTTCAACACTAATGTAATGGTTCTTTTGTAAAGCTTGTAACAGTAAATGGCGTTATTCAGCAGTTGGAGACATTGAGAAAAAATATATAATACAAAGCAAAATATCTTTAGTTCCCAGTGTTTTCACAGGGAGGAAGGGAACATACCTTATGTCTTTGAGGTGCCAAGTATTTCAGTTATCTTATGTAGAGTTTAGAATTACTCAGGTGAAAGAGGAGGAAGTTACTCACATTGTGCAGTAACGATGGTTCTTTGAGATGTGTCCCCCCTATGGGTGCTCCACTGTAAGTGTGCCTGTGTCCCCGCATTGCCAAGCAGAGAATTTCAATAGCAGTCCGTCCCATCCGCACATGTGCATTGCCTCACCCGCCACGAGCCTAGCTAGCATGCGCAGGCATTTCCCTCTCAGTTCCTTCTCTACCGCAGTATTTATTAGCAAAACTCCAAAGTAGAGGGGAGTAGGGTGGGTCGTGGAGCATCCATAGAGACAAACATCTCGAAGAACCATTGTTACTGCACAAAGTGAGTAACTTCTTCTTTGTCTTTGGGTAGTGTCCCTATGGGTGCTCCATTGTAGGTGACTCCCGAACAGTTACCTTGTGCAGTAACTGAGGTTGTTCAAGATGTGTGTCCTCGTGAGTGCTCCACTTCAGGTATTGGTTCGTCCCAGTGCCGTCGATCGGAGATTTATGGTGGCAGTATCCGCGTGCTGCCTCTAGCGCGCGCACAACCCAAGCCCTCCAGTTCCTTCTCTATCACAGAGTCCTAGCAGCGAACTCCGAAGTAGAGGAGAGGAGGGTGGGTAGTGGAGCACCCACAGGGAGACATCTTGAAGAACCTCAGTTACTGCACAAGGTGAGTAACCCTCTCTTCTTCTTCTTTGAGTGCTGTCCCTGTGGGTGCTCCACTTCAGATGACTGTAAAGTAGTGCCCCTCAGAAGGCAGGAGGGACTTCAGGTTCATTTGAGTTGTAGAGATAAGTACAGTTAGGCCAACTATGGCATCAGCCCTGTAGTCTTGAGTGATTGCATAGTGCTCAGTGAATGTGCGGACAGAGACCCAAGTGGCCACCCTACAAATCTCTAGTATTGGAACATTGTTTAGGAATGCTATAGAGGTTGAAATTGATCATGTGGAATGCACTCTGATGTGGGTAAGAGGGTCTGCATTCCGAATATGATAGCAAATGTTGAATGCATGTAGAGATCCATTTAGACAGTCTGAGTGGATATTGCACAGCCTTTCAAATACTTGGTAGTAGAAATGAAAAGTCTAGGAGATTTCCAGAAAGGTTTGGTCCTTTCCAGGTAAAACACTAATGCCCCCGTGACGTCCAATGTATGCAAGACAGTCTCTGTTGGAGTCTCATGAGGCTTGGGATAGAACGTAGGAAGATGGATTGGTTGGTTCATATGAAAGGATGATGTTACCTTTGGTAGAAATTTTGGGTCCGGACGTAGCATGACCTTGTCTTTGAAGAATATTGTGTAGGGAGGCTCGGCCATGAGAGCCCCTATCTCACTCACCCATCTGGCGGAAACAATAGTGACCAAGTGTAGGAGGGAACAGGTAGCTGAGGGTTCAAATGGTGTTCTGGTGAGGTCTTTCAATACCAGACTGAGGTCCCAGGCCGGAGTAGGTTGGCAAATCCCTGAGTAAATGTTCTGGAGACGCGAGGAAGTGTTAAGCGATGGGGTGCGTGAAGACTGAGGTCCCATCAATCTCATGATGGAATGCTGTAATGGCTGCAAGGTGAACTTTGATTGAGCTTGCTACTAAACCCGAGCATTTCAGCTCCAGTAGGTATTCCAGCACTAATGGTAGCAGTGTTGTGGAGGCCAGCATGTGTTTTTCTTGAAGGAGGAGAATCTCTTCCGGTTTTGAAGGTAAGTATTATGCGTGGTTACTTTCCTGCTGTTTAGTAATACATGTTTGACTTGTTCCGAGCAAGCTAGTTTGCCATAATGGAACCATGTTTGTAGGTGGAGTTTCTCCAGATTTGGGTGAAGAGTGCAACCGTTGTTCTGAGACAGCAGGTCCAGATGGCAAGGGAGCGCTTGAGGGGCGCATGTCGCCATGTTCACCAGGTAAGGGTACCATGCTTGTCCGGACCACATCAGAACTATGAGGATAACCTTGGCCTTGTTTAGGCATATCTTGTGTACCACGCATGATATTAGGGGAATCTGTGGGAACACGTACGAGTTGTGCATCCCATATGATGAGGAAGAAGATAGTCCCCCAGTGATTGTGGTCCCATTCCCACTCTCGAGTGGAACATTGCGCATTTGTGCTTTTTTGGAGATGCGAACAGGTCGATGAGGGGAGTGCCCCACCGGCAGAATATGGATAGTAGGACTCCGTCATTCATTTCCCATTTGTGTTCTCAAGAGGCGTACCTGAGTTTGTTTGCCGACACGTTCTGACAGCCAGGAAGGTTTGTGTTATGATGTATGCACTAGTTCCACAGTTTCATGGCTTCGGTGCATAGCGAGTAAGATTGAGCACCCCCGTGGCAACTGATGTAAAACATGCAAGCAATGTTGTTGGTCATTATATGAATTGATTCGTTCTTTATGCAAGGCAGAAAGCGTCTGCTGCATTGCAGACCGCGCGTAGCTCTAATAGATTGATGTGTAGCTGAGTCTCCGCAAGAGACCATTTGCCTGGAACCATGTGCTGATGCCTATAGGCGTCTGTCATGATTACTATTGATGGGGGTTTCTGTTGGAACGGGATGCCCATGCATACATTTTCTGGTCTTGTCCACCAGTGTAGAGAATCCAGGATATGGGGTGTTACTGCAAGTCATTTGTGCAGGCTGTGCTTGCTGGGTATGTATGCTGAGCTTAACCAGTCCTGTAGGCAGGGCATATGTAGTCCTGCGTGTTGTACCACGAACGCTGAAGCTGCCATGTGTCCTAGAAGTTGCAGGACAGCACGAACCACTATTTGGGGGCTGACTCTTACCTCTGAGATAAGGTTTGTCAGAGTTGTGAATCTGTGCGGGGCAGGGATGCCTTGACTTCTATGGCACTGAGATGTGCCCCAATGAAGTCCAGTGCTGGACAGGGATTAGAGTGGATTTTCGTTCGTTTATCTGTAGCCCTAGATCCCTGAAGAGTGCTATCGTCGTCTGGACTGTGCCCAGTGCTTCTTGTTGAGTTGGGCCTTTGAGAAGGCAATCGTCCGGGTAAAGGAAGATGTTTGCGTAGATGGGCCGCTACTACTGCTAGGGTTTTGGAGAAAACTCTTGGTGCAGTAGATAGGCCGAATGGTAGTACTCTGTACTGGAAGTGTTTGTGTCCTACTGCGAATCGCAGAAATTTCCTGTGAGCGGGGTGTATGGTAATATGAAAATAAGTATCTTGAAGGTCAAAGGCTGAAAACCAGTCCCCCTTTTGCAGTGTTGGAAGTATCGTGCCCAGTGTGATCATCTTGAACTTTTGAGTGCATACAAACTTGTTGAGCTTCCTGAGACCCAAGATAGGTCTCCATCCCCCGTTCTTATTCTGGGTCAAGAAGTAGTGGGAGTAGAACCCGTTCCCCCTGTATTGTGAAGGTACTCATTCCACGGCACCTAGTTGAAGAAAATGATTGACTTCTTGTCGTAATAGGTGCTTATGAGAAGGTTCCCTGAAGAGGGATGGGGAAGGGGGGAGGGTAGATGGATGGGAGGTAAAGGAGATGGTATATCCCAATCCTACGATATCCAGCACCCATTGGTCCATGGTTATTGACTGCTAGATGTGGCAGAATGGGTGAAGCTGGTGACCAAAGCATGGGGACAAATCTGGTGTAAGCACAGCCTGGTGAGGGAAGTCATCCACACCCTTGACAAAAACTTCAAAATTGTTGTTTGGGTGGAACTGTTTGAGAAGTCAATGGTTGAGATCGAGGTGTTCTCCATCGCTGCAAACGTTGGCATTGTCTTTGATTCTCGTATTGCCGCTGTTGCTGTCAGTTGAAAGAGGAATCCCTGTTCCACTTATAAGGCTGGAATCGTCTTCTCTTCGCAGGTGGAGTGTAGATCCCCAAATTGCAGAGAGTGGCTCGAGAATCTTTCATTAAGTGGAGCACCTCGTCTGTCTTGGCCAAAAATAGCTCTCTCAGTCGAAAAGTAGGTCCTTGAACTTGGTTTGGAGCTCTTTAGGTACGCCAGAGGATTGTAACCAGGATACCTGGTGCATGATGACAGCCATGGCCATGGTTTTGGCTGCTGTGGCCATGATGTCCAAAGACGCTTGGAGGGCTGTTTTAGCTATGAGTTGACCCTCATTTACAATGGCCTGAAATTGTGATTGTTTCTGCTTGAGGAGCTCCGCTGAGAACAAGCTAAGTTTCCCATAATTATCATAATTTATTTAGCCAGCAAGGCCAAATAGTTGGCAATTCGGAATTGTAATGTCGCTGAGGAGTAAATTTTTCACCCGAAGAGGTCGAGCCTCTTGTGGTTCTTTACCTTGTGGGGTCGATCTAAACTGTTGTTGTTTGCCACACTGATTAGCGGCATCGACCACCAAGGAGCTGGGAGGCAGGAGTGAGAAGAGGAAGTCCACCCTTTGGCAGGGACATACTACTTTATTTTAGCCCTTTAGCATGTCGGAGAAATTGAGGCCAGTGTCTGCCAGACTGTTTTTGCTGGTTCCAAAATCGCATCATTGATGGGCAGAGCAATTTTGGAAGTAGATGAAGGTTGTAACATTTGTAACAGTTTGTGTTGGTTTGTCTGCACTTCCTCCAATGGGATGTCCTCGCTTTGGTTGACCCGCTTAAACAGTTCCTGGAACTGTTTGAAGTCATCTACCAAGGTAGGCGGCGGTGGCATGATTACCTCATCCGGGGAGGAGGAAGAATTGTGAGCATGAGATTCGCTTCCTGATCAGTGCCTGTTTCTGTGTTATCCCCAACATCCTGAGCCTCCGTTGGCGGCAGGGTGGGAGACGTGGGATTAGACTTGAGCTCGCCTCTATGAGCCAGGGGTGGCCTGGAGTGGGGGCCCTGGTAAATTGCTCAGGGTTCCCAATGTGTCCATTGCATTGGGAAGGCCATCGGTGGACACATCCACAGTGGTTGAACCAGCTGGTTGTAAGGGTATTTTGGGCCCCATCTGGCTCCAGGGTGGTCGGTGGTCTTTCGGTGATGAGTGGTGCGGCGAGAAAGTGCATGGTTCCTACACATCATCATCATCTTCACTGGATGAGTGTACCACGTCATGAACAGTATGGCAATCTCCGCTATAACTTACAGGAGAGCCCTCAGTACTGAATAGTGGGGACTGCGGTGCCGACGAGACAGCCAAGTCACTCGGTTGCAGTAGATTTTGTGGTGGTTCTAATATCAGTACTGTCAGGGCGTTCTTATCAGTGCCAACGCTGGTGCTGTCAGTTGTTGTGTTGGTTTAGTTGGTGCGGTCAGTGCCAACTTGGTTTTCTCAACCAGTGCCGACTGCGATGTTGGTGCTGGGGGTGGAGGCATGGTGCCTGAGGAGACTCTCGGTACAGAGTCCCTTATGGGTGAATTCGGTGCCATGGAGAAGACACGTTGCTGTCTGTGCCTTAATTCTGTCTCCTTTGCTCAGGATTCAGCGGTGCTCGGAGAGTCATTGGTGCTCACTTGAGCATGTGTCGGTAGTGACCTGGCAGGAGACCACCTTATGTTTCTGCGGTGCTCTCTGCAGAGACGTCTGTGCCCTCTTCCTCAGTCTTTTAGGGTACATCTACACTACAGGGGGGAGTCGATTTAAGATACGCAAATTCAGCTACGTGAATAGCGTAGCTGAATTCGACGTATCGCAGCCGACTTACCCCACTGTGAGGACGCCGGCAAAATCGACTTCTGCGGCTTTCTGTCGGCGGCGCTTACTCCCACCTCCGCTGGTGGAGTAAGAGCGCCGATTCGGGGATCGATTGTCGCGTCCCGACGGGACGCGATAAATCGATCCCCGAGAGGTCGATTTCTACCCGCCGATTCAGGCGGGTAGTGTAGACCTAGCCTTAGAGGGAGACACGTCTCCTGTCCCTGCAAGGAGGGTGCCCAGAGAGGAGGTCTCTTGGTCTGGTTCTGGTTGGAGAGATTTCTCCATCAGTATAATTTTCAACCAGAGATCTTGGTCACGCCAGGCTCTCGCTTTCAGATTACAGTAGTGGGTGCATTTTTGCGGGATATGCGCCTCCCCAAGACATTGGACATACAAAGAGTGTCCGTCCAAAACAGGCACTGCTTTGTGGCAAGAGCCACATTGCTTAAAGTCTGGGGAGCCAGGCATCTTAACAGTTAACCGATCCCGGAGTGGGGAAACTATGGGGAGTGTAAACCGAGAACAAACTTTTTTTTTGGTTTTACTAAAACTATCACTAACACTAACTACATCTATTAGAAAGACTAACTACTTAAACTGCTATTTTTAAAAGTTGGATGGCTGAGAAGGACCCGGATGGCTTGGGTCGTTGCACTAGACACAGCACCAACGGTACCGCAAGATGCCTACCGTGCACATGCGACGTGCACAAACACTGCAACCATAAATCTCCAATTGACGGTGCCAGGACGCACCGGCACCTGAAGTGGAGCACCCACAGGGACAGCACTCAAAGAAGAATTTCTATTTTTTCAAGTTAATGGTTAAAAAAATCTACTGTGAGGAACAACAACATTAAAGTATAAGAGGGGTAACCGTGTTAGTCTGGATCTGTAAAAAGCAACAGAGAGTCCTGTGGCACCTTTAAGACTAACAGATGTATTGGAGCATAAGCTTTTGTGGGTGAATACTCACTTTGTCAGACGCACGAAAGCTTATGCTCCAATACAACTGTTAGTCTTAAAGGTGCCACAGAACAACATTAAAGAAATTTAACTCTCTTACTACTGTAATGACTTCTAGGTCTTTCACATATGTCCGTTCAGTAGCAAGAATCTCCTTTGCTATGAAATACACCTTCTCTGTTGGATATCGCTGAAAGAAAAGAAAAACTACCAATTAGAATTAAACAAACATACATATATTACATTTCTTATTTTTAATCATGAACTCACTTTCAACCAGTTACTGTATCTCTCTGGGGAGAATTCAAGCAATGTTACTTTGGCAAAACTGCTGCCTCCTGCAGTGAAAATGGAATGTTTCATTTTCAAAGCACTGGTAGTCAGATCAGTGTTGGATTTCTCAAACAAACACTGAAGTTGTTGTAAATTATTTTTTATTTGAGTCTAAAAGAAACCTCTAAACTAAATTAGATCACAACACCACCTTACACACAAAATCTCAAAGCACTTTACAAGAGTGGGGAAAGTATTATTCCAGCTTTGACAGATTTTAAATGATTCTGTAATAAATTTAAGTATGACCTGTGTTTCTAATACAACAGCATCAGTGTTTTGGCAGTTTCCGAATCACTCTGCTTCCATTTACTCAAAGGTGACACTAATTAGCTAAGAAGCCACAACAATCAAAATGCTTGCTGCTTCGTTGCCAGGGGGTGACTATGGTAGTACTCTGCTCTATCAACATGGATACAGAGGTTTAAGATGCAGATGCTAGATCCTGGGCCTTTCCCGATGGCTGACTTTTTAATTTTAATATCATTTGTTCTAAGAAAGCAGACGCACTATATCTCTAGGCTGAGCAGATAAGGTGCCTAGGTACAGCTGACTGGGGTTGCAAGAGTTTGTAAGAAAAACAAAGAAATCCCACTAGGCCCTAAGCAATACCAGTTTGGAAAGGCAGTGAATTCTTACTTAAGAAGAGTTACCTTCAGTTTTATCAATGCCACTTGTCCAGTGTCAAAAAACCACTGAAACAATCACTTTGTTTCACTATATTTGGAGTCAGTTTCTTCCAAACCCCAAACTGCTATTTAAAAAGGGGGGGGGGGGAATGGGAATGGACACTGAAGCAGGACGGACGGAAATGATGAAAACAGATTTTCTGTGGTTGCAACAAATCAAAAGTCAAGTTGGCTTAAACACATATATTATTAAAAAATTCTTAAATAATACTGAAGGTCTGATCACATTTCAAGTTAAGACACCACTTTGTCCTTAACTCACTTTGCTGTGTGCCCACAATTCTCAATTTATGTAAACTAGTATAGCTCCATTGAAATAATGGAGCTATGCCACTTTACATCAGCTGAGAACCTATTTATCTTTTTGTCCCTCTTAACAGTATTACAGCTTTAAAATTATTTCCCCCTTTTTTTTTACATATATACCAAGTAAAAGAAGAAAGGTTCCCTTTACTAAAAAATAAAATCAGTTGCATTATTTCAGGTAACCCCATTTCAATTAATTCTACTGGTATAAAAGTATCAAGGGGCACTGAACCTCTAGAGAATCTCAGAGTTATTAAAATTATGGCACCAGAAAAGCATACGCATTCCACCCTATACTGTACATCACATAGCCTCACTACTATCCTGTTGTACTGCAGGCAGGCACCAGGAGCACAGAGAGGACCATATGGGTGCAACAGAAGTAAATGCTTTATTGGCTATAGCCCAGAAGTGATAAACAACAGCTGGCACTACTACTGGGATTAGTGAGCCCTATGGCAATGATTGGAAGCACCTTCCAATACAATTGCACAGATGACTTCTATGTATATATAACATACCAGATTTGATGTGTTAATACTGCACTCGTGCAAAACATTTTAATGGCTTGTCAGAAAGTCATTCTTAGGTACACTCTTCGATGGGCCCATCCCACAACGTTATTTCTTCCAAATACTTGTCTAGCTCTTTTTTAGGTTGTTTTGTGTTTGTTGCTCCCGGTAGTGGTTTATTTTAGGTCTTGACTCCTACTGATGTAAATAAATTCCCAAGTTCTTGTAATTTCTAATACCCTTACTCCAGTTCAGTAGTGCTTTCCTCCAGGAGTCATCCCATTAAACTTCAATGGGATCACTTGCGGAATAAGAAACTAGTCAATGTGAATAAGGCATCAGAAACTGGTCCTTTGGGAGCTTTACTTTAGACACCTATAACCATCTTGTATAATTTTACCTGACATTAACCTAAAGAGCCTTATTTTATCAATTTTCTATTCCCTTCAAAAGGCAGTATAACCTCAGTGGGGCTCCCTCTCATAAATAGTCTTTCCACAGTATACCATAGCTTCTCTAACCTTTCTGAAGAACTGAGATCTCATAGTTCCTGTAACATTCTGACTCCCTTCTGTTGTGCTTTTTTTCCTTTCTAAAAATATTCTATTTATAAACAGGTTGAACAATACATCACATTTCAAATGTGGCCTAATTCTTTATAGATCGCTAGAATAATTTCTGCTAAGAGAAACAAGATGCCATTTTGTACAAACCAGTCATCTTCACGATTCCCCTCTTTAAATTACAGGTAAAAATTGTGCTAGAGGTGTTCACTTCTAACCATCACTGTCATAGTTACTGTGAGTGCTCAATATACCACTGAACACAATTAGGACTGTAAGCTTATAGGAGTAAATTTTAGGTCATGGATTTGTCAAAGCAAAAAAAGTCAGAGTGACAATTGTGAGCTTAAAGCCACTTAGGGACATGCAAACTACACATAGGGTGCTCCTAGGAATGGTTGTGTGATGTCAGCAATGTATGCAGCGTAGGTGACAAAGGCAGTGGCAAAAGGAGTACCAGATGGAACAGCCTGCCTATGACCTCTGTAGCAATGATACTGCTGTGCTGTGAGCTTCTGCACAGCTGGTCCCTCGAGCCCTGCTGACCAGACAGCTCTGCTCCACTTCTCTCAATGCTGGTCTCCCAGCAGCTGCCACTTACCTCATCTACAGGCTGCTACAGGTCCTGTCTTGGCCACCCAACCTACCTATGGGAGGTTCTTTGAGCCTCCAGGCACCTTTCTTTCCTTTGCAATTCTCCCCACTCCACTCCACCCCCAGCCCTACTAGAAGCGTTTTCAAGCCTGCTGTGGTCTCAATGGAAAGACAGAAGAACCTGGGTAAGTGCATAAGAAAGGAAAACTGAGCATGTGGGGGAAGAGAATGGTTTGGACAGGAGAAGTGAAGGAAGAATAGAGATGGAGATGTCAGGGAAGGAGGAAAGATGGAGGGGGATAATGCAGGTGCCTTCCAAAATTATTATATGCCAGCACTAATTTGGAGGATGATAAATGAATGCGAGGAAGAGACAATACTTGGAGAGCAACAACATTGTTAATACTGAAAGATATATTGTTCAGATGAGAAGGGGCAGGACAGGATAAGTAACTTATATGTACAGGAAGGAAGCAGTGAAATGAGGAGATCGGTGAGACCACTCTAGATGAGGTAGAATTGTTTCATTTTGAGATTAAATGCAATAAAGGAAATAAGTTTACAGAGGAGCTTGCTATAAGATGCTTCATCAGAAGGAGCAACAGAAAAATCAGCAAAAATTAAAAAGCTATGCAAAAGGAACATAATGGTATTAATAAGAGATTTCAATTATTTGAACACAAACTGGGACACAAGAAGTGGAAGAAATAAATCAAACAGGCTTTTAGACAGGGCAATAAATATAAGAGATGCTATTTTTTTAGTCTCTGCTTTATGCTTAATCATACAGGGCAGGTAGAGAGGCCACTATCTGTCAAAGATGTTAGTCAGTTGATTGATGTATATACATAACACCCACAGGCTGGCCTATATATCCACTATCTTTACCTGAGCAGCAGCCAATTCAGAATCCAACTGAGGAGGAAGGAAGTTCAGAGAGAGGAAAAAAACAACATGCTAATTTTTCTGCAGGGGAAGAAACGGATGGGGAAGGAAATTGGGGCTTCTTTCCTGGAAAATATTTTAAAAGTGAATGATCTTTGGAAGCACCTTATGAGCATGATAAATGTGATACTCATTCTCTTCTTTCCTTTTGTTTTAGGGCTTGTCTACACTACAAAATTAAGTTGACTTGATCTATTTTGACCTTGAGCCTCCAAATTAATTAAGTCGATTGTGTGTGGCCACACCAAGCTCATTGTCTCGATGGAGTGCGTCACTAGCAGCGCCTGCATCGATGCACAAAGCATTGTGGGTAGCAATCCCAAAGTGCAACTTGCCACAGTGTGCTTTGGGAAGTTTGTGCAATGCCTCATGAGACCAATACATTGTCACAGGGGAGAATGGGAATATTGCATCGGCATCCCATAATGCACTGTCCTCCCTCCCTTGTATCAATGGCAAACAACCCAGTGGTTTTCGCGCCTTAAAACCACTGCGCGTACTCCATGCTTCTGGGGTTATGGCGCCTGCTCAGTTGTGCACTCTTGCTGTGAGCATCTCAAACACCTTGTGGTTTCTCCTGCAGTATTTCCAGAGCCAAAGTAGGGTCCACCACACGGAACATAGCGATGTCCTGCAAGCAGCTCTGCTGCAAGCCATTGACAAAAACAATTCACAGTTGCTGCTGGCAGTCACAGAGCAGCTGCACTCTGTTCAGCGCCATTTCTGGTCCCGTGAAACAAGCACCAGACCCATGTTTCTTCCTGTAAGCCAGGTAATTAAGGCCCTCACTATTGTTTTTGCCCTCCTTCATGCACTGACTAGCTCTCCTCATTATTGACAAGATCAAAGTTATCCAACTTTCTTCTGTCTCCTCTAACTCTATTACTATTATTTGTATTGTAGTAGCTCCAAACATAGTGTTAGGTGCTATACGAACATAAAACAAAAAGATGGTCTCTACCCTGAAGAACTTAGAATCTGAGTTCTCTTCCTAGAACGTTCCTCATACCCACCCTCCACTCTTCTTCTCTCCCCTTTACCTTATAAGGCGCAGCTGTAGTAAGTGCCTGTCATTAGTACTGAGTATCTCATTCTGTTCATATCTGCTCCATTCTGCGTACCCCAATAGGTAGAGAGGGGTGCACCCATCCTAGATAGAACAAGGGCATATGGTGTGGAACCAGCATGCGGAGAACTTACACAGTGCCTGCAGCAGCAATGGCAGGATGATGATGTGTGGCTTCCTTGCCACTACAAACATTTCCAAGCTAAAATTTAGCTTGGGGTGGGGGGTGGTGTTGCTCCACTTTATCTTCTTTTTGAGTTCATTTTCTAACCTTTATACGTCTCTGAATGCTCCCTTTCAAGAGTCTTTAACATTTCAGTTGTCTTTTAAAATAAATATTTATAAGAAGCAAAAAAGGTATTTATTACTCTAGATAGCGTACCAACCCTCACCTAATGCCCTTTACACTGCAGAGCAGACATGGTAATGACATCTTTTAAACTGTCCTTCAGGTGCCAACTACCGCGCTATTTCTATTTTCCCTCTCAAATCCTATTGTTCTTTCCCCATCACTGAGCCTCTTTCCTTTTCCAGAAATCCAATTCAAGTGCCAAAAAAGAGTTAACACTGCAGTTCTGCAAGCACATGGTGCCACATGAAAGCAATGAGAAACTAAGGGCTACTGAACATTTTCACCAAGTGTTTTGTAATTTAGAGAAATGCTGGGGAAGACTTCCATTTACTAAAATTAAATCATTGCACAAGTAAAGGTAACTATGATTTTAAAATACAAGACAATATGTAGCATATAAAAACTTAAGTTACACATTCATGCCCTGATATTTCTATAAAATTACAGCAGCACTCATAAGCATCAACACATTTATATTCATATTCCCATTGTAAGTCTCCATCTTCCAGGTATTCATAAATAGCCTGTAAAAATTTACCATGAAACTTAAGGTCTCATCCTGGATAAGTTTCATTTTAAGAAATTATTTTCAGGAGGAAACTGAAGCTTTAGAACTCTCAGAAGTTGACCATGCTTAAAATCAATTAGCAACAAAAATTCATCCCAAGGCTTAAAAACTTTTTAAAATGAGTTTCAATCCAAAGGGAATGCAAATTGTTGAGATATTACACTTTTGAAAAAATGAGGTATATGTGACAGAAATGGAAAAAGACTGAGTGCCACTATAATATTTTTTTTATATATATATATATATATATATATATATATATATATATATATATATACACACACACACACACACACA